TAACCCAACCTAACCTAACCTAACCTAACCTAACCTAACCTAACCTAACCTAACCTAACCTAATCTAACCTAACCTAACCTAACCTAACCTAACCTAACCTAACCTACTGATTTATGCCTACCGGGGATAAGGAAACCTAACCTAACCTTGCCTCACCTAACCTAAACTGACGGTTTTGGATGTTGCGTACTTTGGATGTTGCGTACTTTGGATGTTGCGTCCTTTGGATGTTGCGTCCTTTGGATGATGCGTCCTTGGATGTTGCGTTTTTGGATGATACGTTTTTGGACGTTGCGGTTTTGGATGTTTCGGTTTTGGACGTTGTGAATGCTCCCTATATACCCGATTTTTGACGTATTTTGGACGTTGCGTACTTTGGACGCTGCGGTTTTGGATGTTGCGTACTTTGGATGCTGCGGTTTTGGACGTTTTGATGGTCCCCCGAATATAAAAGATATGTACAGGAAATGCATCGTAAAATACCAAATATGCAACTGCAACGTTCATCTTACTTTTTCTTTTCCTGCCTTGATCCAGGGTGGGTTCCAAGTTGGTTCCAAGGTAAAGTAATCTTGCCTTGATCCGCATCGGGGTCACGTGGTGATTGTTGTTGTTTTTATATTTTGTCCTTACTGCGCCATTGCTGTCGATTATTGGTTTCGGATCTAAACTTGTTCATTCTGCACTGCTGCACTGCTGCTCGCTGCTGCCCGCTGACCAATTAGAAAAAGAGTAGGATTTCAAAAGTTGCATTTGTAAATATATAGCGCTTTTATCCGTAAGTCAGTGCTATGAAAAAAGGTTATCAATTAAATTTATGTGATAAAAAGTTTTCAATATCAAAAAGCTATCACATATCTGTTGTTTTTGGTAAATTAAAGAGTGGCTGACGTCACTTCAATTCGGCTCTGATTTCGATAGCATAAGCAGATAAATTCTTTGAACAGGGCTCGTTTGAACGGTCCGTTTATATCGTTTATAGCCTTGAAACGGCCCACGATGCTACGGCCTTGCCACGATGTGTGTGCTTGTTTGGTTAGTTTTGATATTATTGCTTGATCCAAATCCGGTACCCGCCGCTAAACGCCCTAAACCACAACAACAACAACAAATCCGGTACCTACATGTGGAAATTGATATTTTTTGGTCAGTTATTTCGGAGGGTTCATATGATAAGTACATCGATGTGATGTTCATACCTTTTGAGTTGAGCTTGAGCTTCCTTATATCAATTCTCTTCTTGTTCTGAGCTCGTGTAAGAGACCTTAGCCTCATAGCACTTGTAGCACTTCAATTTAGTGTGAAAGCCTAGCTGTTCAGTGGCCATTGTATTGCGCTCATATGATTTTTTATTGGTAGTGCATTATTTTAATTTCAACTTTATGAATTTTTGAATGTTGAAACAGGAAATTATAGGTAGAGCTTTCAGCATCATATACTCTGATCACTGTATTAGGAATGAAGGATTCCAGGACAAATCTTCGTATGGCATTTCTTCGTCGCGCAATTCTTCGTCCGCATTTCTTCGTCCGCAAATCTTCGTCGGCGCATTTATTCGTGTCGCATTACTTCGTCTCGCATTTCTTCGTAGGTGCAAAAATTCGTAGCGCATTTCTTCGTATCCGCATTTCTTCGTCGGCGCATTTCTTCGTCAAGCATTTTTTCGTCCACGCATTTCTTCGTCTACGCAAATCTTCGTCCGCATTTCTTCGTCCACGCAAATCGTCGTCTGCGCAAATCTTCGTCCGCAAATCTTCGTCTCCGCAAATCTTCGTCCGCAAATCTTCGTCCGCATTTTTTCGTCCACGCATTTCTTCGTCTACGCAAATCTTCGTCCGCATTTCTTCGTCCACGCAAATCTTCGTCCCCGCAAATCTTCGTCCGCAAATCTTCGTCCGCAAATCTTCGTCCGCAAATTTTCGTCCGCATTTTTCGTCCACGCATTTCTTCGTCCAATCAAATCTTCGTCCGCAAATCTTCGTCCGCAAATCTTTGTCTGCGCTATCTTCGTCTCCGCAAACATTCGTCCACAAATGTGGTTCAATAAAACCATGAAAAAATATCAGACAGTCAAGTAAATGACGAATTTAATGCAAGGAATGGATAATCAAAACTTTTGAAGACAGGTAGATGAGGTCAGTCAGGTGAAGCTATTGTATTTGGGAGCCGACAATCGTAACATTCCTCATTTGTGTCCCGGACATTCTTTTTTTGCGGTCGTTGAATGACAATATAATCTCTTGTACCCTCGCCGGCATAGGCGGCGGAACGGGGAGGGCACCGGGGCACCGTTCCCCTCTTTAATTTTGGCCTTTTAACAGTAGCCCTATGGACGTTGCATGGAAAGCATATTGGACCAAAAGTCGGCAGTGCCGTGCCCGCTACTGCCCGCCGGGCCTATTTGTTTTCTACGGTACACGCCGGCCGAGGGGGCGGGTACGACCCCCCCCCCCCCCCATCGCCGTTTCGCCACTGGTGGAGCTAGCGCGTCGCGGAAAAAATACGAGCGTGTGCGCCGTTACGAGCCGCAGAGATTAATACCCGATTTTAAGGCCTTCTAGGTCAGCGGTCGGCATACGGCCCGCGATAGGCGTTATCACAAGTGTATTCGCGGCCATTGGGGCGACGTAAGAAAAGAAGAAAACAACTGGCCCCAAGAACTTTAAATTATCAGTTAGCATGCACCTTTTCCTTGATATGTAGAGAATTTACCATTAATTGTTAGAGAAAATTGTATTAAAAATCTTCCATTTATGCTTTTTTCATCGTTTGCACAGTATGTTCTTTTACTAAGCTAGAAACACTAATTAGAAATAGTTCCCGCATCATCAAGAACAATAGGGAAGGATTGAAGTGAATACAATAACCTAAACGGTTTTGTAATCCATGTGAAGACACTTCTAAAATTGCCTGTAGAAATATTAAAGGCAAAAGTTCAACTTTTTCACAAGACGGATGGCTATAAACCTATTCAACGTGTGACAACTCAGCCGGTATTTCGTCGCCTACAGCCCAGCTTTCCCTAGTGACCGATAGAGGCGCTGCTATCGATGTCCGCCCGTGCCGCCTAACGGCGGGCCGGATCCGGCCAGGTGGGTGACGGTTGGATCCGGCCCGCGACCAGCTGACGTCCGGCCCGCGGCTGGTATCAGCGACTTACATCGTGTTCCGGCCCGCGGTTCCTTCATAAATCGACTCCGATATAAAAGTGACTCAAATGTGCTTTGGCACAACAGTTCTTCCTTCGCACACTTCATGAGTTTATAAACACCATTTGCGGGTGTTTTTGTCTAATTCTACTTCTAGACAAAACTTGCAACGGTAAGATTTGGTCAGCAGCTTTTGCGCGCAGCATCAACGACTGCTGCAGCTGCGTGCACTTGGCGGCTTCACGTGGTCTACTCGCTTAACCTTCCAGGCGGTGTGTGTGTGTGGGGGGGGGGGGCGGGCCGGAACACGATGTAAGTCGCTGATACCAGCCGCGGGCCGGACGTCAGATGGTCGCGGGCCGGATCCAACCGTCACCCACCTTGCCGGATCCGGCCCGCGGGCCGTATGCCGACCCCTGACCTAGAAGGCCTTAAAATCGGGTATTAATCTCTGCGGCTCGTAACGGCGCACACGCTCGTTTTTTCCGCGACGCGCTAGCTCCACCAGTGGCGAAACGGCGATGGGGGGGGGGGGTCGTACCCGCCCCCTCGGCCGGCGTGTACCGTAGAAAACAAATAGGTCCGGCGGGCAGTAGCGGCGGAACATCTTCAATTAAGGGGGGCACGGCACTGCCGACTTTTGGTCCAATATGCTTTCCATGCAACGCCCATAGGGCTACTGTTAAAAGGCCAAAATTAAAGAGGGGAACGGTGCCCCGGTGCCCTCCCCGTTCCGCCGCCTATGCCGGCGAGGGTACAAGAGATTATATTGTCGTTCAACGACCGCGAAAAAAAAGAATGTCCGGGACACAAATGATATGGAATGTTACGATTGTCGGCTCCAAATACAATAGCTTAACACCTGACTGACCTCATCTACCTGACATCATCCATTCCATGCATCAAATTCGTCATTCACTTGACTGTCTGATATTTCTTCGTGCTTTTATTGAACCACATTTGTGGACGAGTGTTTGCGGAGACGAAGATAGCGCAGACAAAGATTTGCGGACGAAGATTTGATTGGACGAAGAAATGCGTGGACGAAAAATGCGGACAAAAATTTGCGGACGAAGATTTGCGGACGAAGATTTGCGGACGAAGATTTGCGGGGACGAAGATTTGCGTGGACGAAGAAATGCGGACGAAGATTTGCGTAGACGAAGAAATGCGTGGACGAAAAAATGCAGACGAAGATTTGCGGACGAAGATTTGCGGAGACGAAGATTTGCGGACGAAGATTTGCGCAGACGAAGATTTGCGTGGACGAAGAAATGCGGACGAAGATTTGCGTAGACGAAGAAATGCGTGGACGAAAAAATGCTTGACGAAGAAATGCGCCGACGAAGAAATGCGGATACGAAGAAATGCGCTACGAATTTTTGCACCTACGAAGAAATGCGAGACGAAGTAATGCGACACGAATAAATGCGCCGACGAAGATTTGCGGACGAAGAAATGCGGACGAAATATTGCGCGACGAAGAAATGCCATACGAAGATTTGTCCGGTTACGGGAATGAAGAATTGTTTCTAAATTGATAACAATTCCAATTCAAGATCCACATTGACATTATTGCGCAGGATACAGTTCATAGTCTACCTTATACCCGGTCCCGCACCCTAAAGGAATTAGCCACTGCAAACATTTACAGGATTGCGCTAGATGATATTTTATTTTGTCACCTTATCAGTTTCTTTTCCAAAATTTGTCACATCCCTGATCCCAGTCCATAATTCCCATATTTTCCATTCTATATTTTGGACATTTCCTTAAATGTCTACAACAAAAGCTGAAGCCCAAGACAACACATTTCAGTGAGGCATTTGATTCAATCTTCTTTGAGCTTGCTTAAATATCAACACAAACTTGTTATTGTAACATATTTTTGCCAACACCCTGTATTTCATTAGAAATTGGTGTATGTATGGAAATCATTAGATACGTTTAAATACCTCACCCTCTGAAATAAGTTCATTGTTATCATTTTTCATGTTATGTGTTGCAAAGTTATTATAATTAAAACTAAATTAATCTATTTTGATATAATCTCTGATTAAGATGCAGTATCAAAATATATTATTTTAGGATCAATTATTCAATTTTACAACATTTAACATGAGATGAGCATAAGGTTGTTACTTGTTCATTCTATTTACAGCACTAATCATGGCCATGCTCAGAAGTACCACAGCTTTTTCTCAGAAGTAATAATTTCTCTGTGTGGTTATGCACGTTTTATTTCATTTTTGCTTTACGCTTTTAATAAGGCTGACAATCAATATATTATCCTTAACTGACTCATCCTAAATTTAAGGTCACAACAGGTCAGAAAGAACTAAACTGGACCCGCACCACGCTGGGGGGCAGTATCTGCCCCCCTTCCCATTTTCGCCAATAACTTCTAAATGCGTTACGTCAGCGACGTCAAACTTTCAGTACTTTATCATACGTCAATTTAGCACGTTAGGTACCTGAAAATTTGAGCGAAATCCGTCTCAAAATGTTGGAGAAAATGCCGTTTGAGTGATGTCATGTCACGCCATTTTCGCCTAAAAAACAGCAAAACTTCAAATGCTGCTAACATCTTCATTTTTAAAGGAAGCAAGACGTAACAATAAAGGTTATACGTGATTCTACCTTGTCTATCAAATGGCTATCTCGATTTTTTTTTTGAAAACTGGATTTTGGCCCAATTTTTTATTTTAAAAACTTTTGGGGAAAATAATAAAATCCAAAGTTTTGCGTGTATCGAAAAAAACGGAATAAATGTCAGAGAAGTGGCCTATGTGCACCTACATACCAATTTTTAGAAGAATCAGTTCAAAAATGTGGGAGTTATTCGACGTCAGTCGTCACGACACACAATTTTTTGAAAAATAATTTGAAAGTTTTGGACCTTGTACGGAAACACAAATAGCACTATTCGATTCGCCGTGAAAAACTGCATCAGATAAACACCTTTTTAGGTCTTAACAACCAACTTCAAAATTTGACCTTACTTGACCCGACCTTGACCTGGCCTCAACCTGAAATTCATCCAGATGTTTTCCATATCACTTATTGAGTGTGCCTTTTGAATTCTATGAATAAAATGAATGACCCATAAAACGTGTGTCGCACATGCCCTTTTCTATATTTCGTTTTTGGTGACCTGACCTGACCTTGACCTTGACCTTTGCATGATATTGTATGCAACGAATATTATCTTGGTAGCCTAAGAACACGTTTTGGGCAATCAGTCTCAGTCCATTCTTCGGCAACTACGGTGCAAGACCGATACTGTAGAAACTTGCATTTTGTACCCTTGACCTTACCTTGACCTGACCTGACCTGACCTACTTAAGCAAAAAAATCGGCTCTTAAGATCCGCCTTGTTGATAGCTTTCGATTGCCGTTTTTTTCCCGTCTTTCTACGACCATCGGTTCGGAAGTTAGACAGGGGGGGGCAGAAACTGCCCCCCCCCCCCCCCAGCAGGGCGCGTATGGCTGAATAGCCCAGCGGGGCGCGGGTTAATAATGAATGTTTAATAAATGGCTGACCAGGGAACAATTGTTAAATTTGTTATGCTTTGCTAGATCATTACATTAGTGCTTGACTCAGTGTGGTATAGGTATCCTATCTACTCTCAGTTTTATTGTTCAATTCAAGTAAGGGAAGAGCAAAGTTCATAGGTACTTTTAATGATAAAAACTGCATTGTGCTTAATTAGCAATTAGCATCCATGAATAGAATAGGTAAACATTGATTGGAGGAAGTGACGAGAGGAAGCCGATGATACCCAATTTTAACCCTATTCCTGGCGGGCTCCGCCGGGACAAGAAACTGGCGGGGGGGGGGGGCCGATTCGGCCCCCCCCTGAGATCTCGAGAACGAAGCAAGATAGCGACAAGCGGTAAACGGCATCGGATACGCATGGACAAGATCTACAATTTTTACAAAGGTCATTTTCAGGTCAGGTCAAAGATGACGTCACAGGGGTCGAAAAAGTCAAAATGGCGGCGCTAGATATGGAGAGAGTTTTTCTCGAATAACTTTCGAATTAGTCAAGATAGGAACAAACTAAGGGCATCATCGTGATCCTCTCGTCAATCCGCATCGAATGATATATATGTTGACCTCGAAAGGTCAAGGTCAAAGGTTGACCTCAGGTCACGTGATCTCGAGGTCATCATGTATATCATTCGATGCGTCTTGACGAGCTGAACACAATGAGACCATCCACGCGTCTGTATCTTGTTCCTGTACGGAGTTATTGGCCAAAAACCTTTGGTGACCTTTGATGACGTCACATGACCTCACAGCTGCCCAACAGCAAAACAGACCTCAAGGTAGTGAAGGTTGATCGTATATGAAGTCATGTATGGTATATGGGGCCATTCCGACCCGTTTTAGTGGTAAAAACAGGGAGTTGATTTTTCCCCCATTGACTTATAATGGGGAGGTCGCGAAACTGACCTGACCTTAGGTCACCGATATCAAAATTCCGAGATATACAAATTGCACATACTGGTACCCTAACTAAAGCCTGAAGAGAAGAAATTGATCGGTCAAAAACTCTAGCTCTGGCGTGATTGCAAACTTTTCTGAGGTAGGGTCACCAAACCGCCTCTGGTGACCTGACCTGAGGTCAGATCAACTCAAAATTTTCAGACATGCTGCGTAGAAGCCTTTTAGGAAAAGTCAGAAAATTTGAGCTTCCTAGCTCAACGCGTTTGGGAGAAATAACCAAAAAACCTCAGGGGGGGCTCCTGAGGCCCCCCCCCCGCCAGGAATAGGGTTAAGGTCCTAGGTCATTGGTTGACTTTCCAGGTCAGGTCAATGATACAAAAGTCGGGAAAATCGGGGCCTGCTAGAACCTCGTAAAGTGAGGGCGTTATGGTTTTTTTTTCGGGGTGCTGATCACGTAGTTCGTGTCAGTTTTGATCACAGATGATGTCTTCATGCATTTAGGCCAGGTCGGGTCAGGTCAGGTCAGGTCAACCAGTAGTCGTCCTGTCGGCTATCCATAGTAGGTATCAACTACCACTGGCGGGGTCTAACATGTTACGAAAACGAAGGTACTAAAACTACTTCGTAAATTTTCAAATGGATGCTAAATTTGGAATCAGCCCGAAAAAGCTACCCTAGATACATGTAAAACTCGAAAGAGTGAACCGAGGTCATGATAGGCCAATGGCCTGACCTGACCTTCAGATGTCCTTGACACCCACCGTAATGCCTGGGACGAACATCATTTCACATGTTTGAACGTTTACAATCACAAAAAGACTGGAAACGCGCGGATAATGTGAGCTGCCATACCTACGCTGAATCGCTATTCCGGGTAAACATGGTCTCGAGAAATAGGTCACAGGTCAAAGGTCCTTTGGGTCAGAGTCACGAAATTTTCAGGGTCGGTGTAAAATTGATCAACTCTAGGGTGCTGGTAGGTTTCGTCGCGGTCGGCCGCTTTTTTGCGAGTTATTCGCGAAAAACGAGGGGGCTCCATCCGACCCCCCCCCCCCCCTACACATGTGAGGGTTTAATTGTTGTAGTATTTCAAATGCTTCAGCAAGACAGATGCTACAGTATTCAATGTAGCACTCGAGTGATTGCAATGTTGTGCTTGGTCTCCAGGTAACCATGCTGAACCTGTGGAGGCTCTTCACCAGTGTTTTTGTAATACTGCAGCTCCAGTCACACATGAGAGCGAGCAGAGCTCAGCGAGACACCCCGGCGGATCTGCCCGTCCTGCTCTGGTGGACGCCGTTCAGTGACGATCCTGGCTACGTGCAGGAGTGTGGGGAGCAGAGCTGCTTAGTCACTGACGCCCGCTCGCACATCAACAGCCCCCAACTGAGCTGGGTCCTGATCTATGGCACTCTGCTGGAGCCGTGGGACCTGCCTCTGCCACGCAGCGCTCGCGTTCCCTGGGGCCTCCTGCATGAAGAGTCGCCCAAGAATGCGCCTATTTTCTGTCACGACGACTGTATCTCTTTGTTCAACCTCACGGCCACGTTCCGTTCAGGTAGTGACCTGCCGTTGACCCTGCAGTACCTCTCGTCGCTGGAGGCGCTGACCTCTCCTGCCGGCGTGGTACCCATCGAGGAGAAGCTGGCCTCTGAGCGCGCGCCGCTCGTCTACCTCGCCTCAGGCTGCGACACGCCCGTGCAGCGGGACGCGTTTGTCGCCGAACTAATGCAGCACATCGCCGTGGACTCGTACGGCGTCTGTCTCAACAATCGCCCACTGCCTGTGGAGCTGGCCGACCCCAGCGAGGCCGACCCGGCCGCCTTGGACGCCTTCCTGGCGCCCTACCGGTTCTACCTGTCTCTGGAGAATGCCGTCTGTGACGACTACATCACGGAGAAGCTGTGGCGTCCGCTGCGGCTCGGCGTGGTGCCCGTCTACCACGGAGCGCCAAACGTGCGCCGCTGGCTGCCCAACAACGACTCGGCGCTGCTCGTTTCCGAGTTCGAGTCGCCGCGTGCGCTCGCCGCGCACCTGAAGCGACTCGGCGCCGACTCTGAGGCCTACTCGGCGCACCTCCGACACAAACGGGGCCAGGTGGACAACGCCGAGCTAAAGAGGACGCTGGCGTCGCGGCCGTGGGCGGCTCTGGACGATACTGTCAGTGATGCGCCGAACCTGGTCGAGGCATTCCAGTGTCGGGCGTGTGAGCTGGCCTGGGAGGCGCGGCGGGTCGGAGGGACGGCCCCCAGAACCGCCGACAGTGGTCACTACGGGTGTCCGCGGCCGGCGCCGCTGCTGGCGGACGGCGACTCCTCGTGGTGGGCCGAACAGTGGGAGCGCGCCGCCCTGGAGGCCGCCCAGATGCGCCGCCTGGTGGCCGATGGACGCGCTGTCTCCAGAGAGGATTTCCACAGACGCATACTGAGTCAGCTCAGCGCTGGGAGAGACGAGCTGTGAGGTCGTCAGCGGCACAGCGAGAGTGCCGGCCGAGCCGACGGGGGACGCGTGGCGCTCCTTTCAGATGTGGGAGCTCGGGCAAGTGACTCTGGTCGGTTGTTTTTCCAGTATATGCAGTGATCCACAAAATGGCGAGCACGGCACGCTTTTATGTTCAGAGAACCTTGCCGTGCACTGTGATCGATGGTGTGGGGCGCTAGTCAGCGTTGGCTGACCACGTATATCTGTGATAAAGACTGCTGCCCTATGGGCTGCCTAATGCAATCTGAGATTCCACAAGGCTCGTTTTCAGGGCACAATGATTCCTTAGTCAGGGTTGGAGGGCACACATTTTGTATGTACTTGTTATAGTCCTGCTATGGTCATACCCGATATGTGAAGTGTATTTACTCGTATGGTATACCGTATAGGTACGAGATTAATGCAGGTATGATACACTGTTGGTGTTATATTGTTTATATTATTTTTATGCATAATATGGGCATGTTTGCCATTTGAAGTATTTTTGTACTTTGAATACAAGCATGCTTATGATTGATTGTTTCATACCAATGCTAACTTCTATCAGTGCAAGTGACTCGAAGAAGTAGAAGGGGAGCAGACTATTCGTGTTAGCCTAAAATTCCTTCACACAGAGTGAGAGGATATTTATTGTCTAGATGAAACGTTGTTTACCGCGTATTTACGTTAGAGGACGCAATGTATGAACTCTTATTTATCCGTGAAGCATAGCATAGAATATATGTACACAAAGCATACCGCCGGTCCTGCACTCGGGTTATTACTCTACACTGGAGTAACGAGTAACAACTACACTGAGATCGCAGTTTTGTAGTCCTGGAAATTGTACACCTCTTTGGTGTGCAACATTTTATCCATCTTTAAAACTGTATGCGTGACAGCTCTTCCCGCAAAACCTTTTTGCGGAAAGGATACGTTCGACCACCTGTTGCCTGTCATTTCGTAGATAGGCGGCTCCTTCACTGGCATTATTGATGGCCACCACCGTGCGGCAATCTTGTGCGTTCGACTGGCGACATTGTTTTTTTTTATAACTTCGCCGACCGAGGAAATGATCCGGAGCTCCAGCAAAGAAAACAGACCTAGAGTTGCCGACTACCCGACCGAGAACACAGTTGAGCAGCAGGAAGTATATCTTCGTCCACGACGAGACGCTGCGGCGGGGCCTGGAGGAGGAAGCAATACACCTGCTGCAAGGCATCAGGAGGAATGGACGACCGGACGCCGACCGCCGGCCGGCCCGTCGGAGGTGGGAGGGGCGAGGGAGGAGAGGGAAGGAGAAGGACACAGACCGACGGCTGCTGCGCCTTCCGGTCTCAGGTGAGAGGGGCGGAGAGGAGCAATATACTGTGTCTGAGGGGCTCGCGGGACACTCGGATTGGAGGCGGACGATGTGGTTACTGCTCTCATCAGGAAGGTGACCAGGCTTTGAAAAGATTCGTTCTACATGCCGTGCGTGTTATTTATGTCCTCTCATCCCATTAGCATTGTGCCTGTGTATTTCCCTGTCGCCCGGGTGGCGAAATGGCTCCACTGTCACGCTGTGTCCACTGATATAACGGTTCACCGGCTGACGGCAACTCTTCTCACCGATCGTGGCTGGTCCGCACCGCCCAGAGCGTGCCCGTCCCGTGCGTGTCAGACCCGGCTCCCGGAGCTGCTCCGTTGGACTCAGACGCTCGGTCACCAAATTTAATTAGTTTTATGCGACTAGAGAAACGACGATTACAGCTAAAATTACAGTATTGTCATTTCATGACGCTAAGTGGATACCGGAGCAGCTTTGCTTATAGTTCGTTTTTCTTAAGTTCGACCCTCACTGTAATCGTCTCTTTGAAAACAGCACGAGAATTGCTAGCTGAATTACTGAGAAAACTGGCTGGCGCACATTGATTTCACAGACGATTAATTTTGCTCAAAATTATTTCTTCCTGGCTCTTATTTTCCAGACTGCTAGCTCGTATTTGCCTTCATATACAACCCCACAGGGATAGACGTCTTGTCAGAAATTATAACTGAACTGATCAATAGATCGCACGGCGTTTAACAGAAAGGTATATCATCGGTGTTTTAAAACTTATTTGGAAAGTATTATTCATGTCTACAGTACAATGTGCGCTAGCCAGCTTTCTAAGTAATTCAGCTAGCAATTCTCGTGCTATGTTCAAAATGATATTTACAGTGAGGGTCGAACTTAGAAAAAACGAACTATACCTATATATTTAAAATAATTATTAAATCGTGCATGAAAAAGTCCTCTGTAACGTTGTGAAACGAATGAATCTAATTCGGCCCTGTCTGAGGGTTCGGGGCGCCCTCGCCCCCTCTCACCATCGTCCGTAAGATCGTGCAGCCCAACGAGAACCCGGACGACTTCCTGCCGTCCGTGATGACGTGCGTCAACTATCTGAAGCTGCCCGGCTACACCAGCATCGAGATCATGGCTGAGCGCATCGCCACCGCCGTGCGCAACGGACGGCTCAGCTTCTTGCACTCGTAGTGCGGCCGCCGCCGAGTTGCGAACGAACTTGTGGTGCCATGGAGACGTCATACCATATGGTATATATAAACCTGCTACACTTTTTGTCAATGAGAAAAGGACTGAATACACACGTCGAGTCGTCCAGCCCTGTTTATAGAATGGAGCTGAGACAGGCGCAGATTCCACCTGACAAATTGGTTACCAAGCATACGCTTACGGTCACGCAACGGAATGATAACTAGCGAGGATAGACGTTTACCTGCGATACTGGGCCATACCGGGTTAATCGGGTAAAAACCGGTCTGAACTGGCTGTCGCTAAACCAGGCGAAAGGCACGATTGCACATGGATAGGGGGCGGGCTGGTCGGGCAGGCATGCCTTCCACTCATGGTCCGGGGGTGGGCATACTTCGACACACGGTTCGGGGGTGGGCAGCTCTTTGAGAAGGGTCAACGACGCTGCATGACAACTTTCACCCTCGGTGGGGAGCGGGTGGTCTCTCACGCTCCGGGCCTGCCCCTGCCCCTGGCTGCCGGCCGAGGTGACCGGCGTGGGTGAAGAGCCACGACTCGCGCGGCAGCTGGGGAGGGGGAGGGTCGGCGGTGACCAGAGGTGACCGGCGGGTGAGGAAAGGCGTTGGGTCACTGTTCGGTGGTGTAATGTTTGGTGACGGCTGGGAATGTGATAATCGTGATGCCATCGTCAGCTGGTGACGGCCAGGGACACAAGTGGTTGAGCGTGACGACGATCAGCACCTGTGGGCTCCGAGACAACGTGATTGCTCGCCAGCTCAGCCGATCTTTGTGTGTGCCAGCGAGTTGGTATGATCGTAAGTTTGTCTGTTATAGCAATATGAAATATGAATAACAGTTTTACTCACTATGCTGATAAGGACAAAGCACGAGCCATCTAAGTACGCACCTTGCGTATAAGATGTATGTACAGGGTGTCCACGTCAAAAGTGTACCCAGACTTTTCTCCGTATTTTATCTTAAAAACATCACACTCACAAACGATTGCCCTCGTTTGAGAGCCTAGGCAATGGCAAAACACTTGCTATGCTTTTCAACTGTGCTCGGCACTCTGCTGACCAGAGCGTGCCGTCTAGAGCAACTGCTCTATATGAGCCCCTTTGCTTCGGGCCACCGCCGGCAGACGGACCGTGGCATGTGAAATCCCACAATGGGGATCCCGCACTGGGGATCCCACCGCCTAGAAAAACTTCAAACCATGCCTCTGCACATACTTCGTGCGCTGATTACATCAAGTGCATGCTGAAGCATAGCTAATTAACGTCTGCTTGGAGGAAGAAACTCCTCGGTCTATGAAGGATAGGTATATTTGAAAAAATCGGTGGCTGTAAATTTATCCCGGCTGTCGGAACGTTGTTCTATATACCCTGGTCGGAACAACTGCATTTTGCAGTAGCCCTTCGATTGGGGGCATTGTCACTTGGTGCTCTGTTTGAGATGTCCACGTGACGTGATCCCCTTTCGGCCCTGAAGCGGCCGACCGGGCGCAACGCCAGGTCGTGTATGGGTCGGCGGCCTGGTATGGGTCGGCCGGCCGAGTGCTCAGCTCTGACCGCGCCCTGACCGTGTGGGTCGGCCGGCCGTGTGCTCAGCCCTGACCGCACCCGAGCGCCCGATTCCACTCGGGGCCCGGCTTTGGCAGTCAGTCTGTCCAGCCAAAGCCAAAGCCCTTCAACTGCGCCCCGGCAACAAAGTACATAGTCACCACGTGTTTCCTTCTTTCACTTGCGATTTGTGTTAAATTTAGTAGCACATTTACCTTGTATTCTGCAAATTCATTCACACAAGCCTTACGTGTTGAAAACACAATGATATTGTGTTTTAGGACACAACACGACTGGGTTAACACATTTGTAAATTGACACGTCTGCGACGGGTCAAAAAATGCATGATGCAGGGTACACAAGAAAGCCTAATTAACACACTCTGCTTGTGCGTTTTTAGTCGTTTTCTGTGTCATTTTGTTTTCAGTGAATGGGCTCCCCACTCGCCCGACCTCAGCCCTCTATAGACTTCTTCTTGCGGGGCTTTCTCAAGGACTGTGTGTACGCCGGCAATCCAGGGTCGACCCAGGAGCTGAAAGACGCCATCAGCGACGAGATCCGTCGCCTTCCCTCCCACATGGTTGACCAGGCGATCACCCACCTCCAGACTGCCGGCGGTGGCACGACGCAAAGGGGCTCATATAGAGCAGTTGCTCTAGACGGCACGCGCTGGTCAGCAGAGTGCCGAGCACAGTTGAAAAGCATAGCAAATGTTTTGCCATTGCCTTGGCTCTCAAACAAGGGCAATTGTTCATGAGTGTGATGTTTTTAAGATAAAATATGGAGAAAAGTCTGGGTACACTTTTGACGTGGACACCCGGTACGTACGCAAGGTGCCGTCATCTTAGTACGGCACCTTGCGTGGTCTTCCCTCGTAGCTGCCCGGTCATCACCCGTATTTCTTACTATTCTGGGGTGGGGGACCGAGGAAGGCAGGGTATTCGTCAGACTCGCGACGGGCCGAGTAGTCTTCAGATTCGACTCGCGCCGGCCAGTGGACGGAACAGATGAGTAGTCTGCAGATACTCGACTCGGTAACGGGCTCGGGGATGCATGAGCAGAGTTAATGCGTAGGTATTACAAACGAACTACAATGGCGGACGAATAGGAAAATCCGCTCCTGGCTGGAGAAACCGGGGGGGACCGGGGGGGACCGTCCCCCCCGGGCCCCATTAATTCCATTTCCTGGGGGGGACCTGGGGGGGGGACCTAATATATAACGAAAGTGGGCCCTTCTGACTTATGTTTAAAAAAAGTAATCAGCCATTTTGGCCTGTATTAATGTTTTAAATATCACATTCCAAGCATCGGAGCCCTATATCAGTGAGTAGATCTCAATGAGTCGTACTCCACCACAAGCTAGTGGGCCCTTAATGGTTCCGTGATGACCGTGAACCATCGGAGAGCCATGGCCCCTCATTGAGTCCATGTGGTCCAGGTCCAGTAGTGGACCT